CGGCCGGTACCTTGCTTGTCACCAGTGAGCACCCAGATTTTAATGTTTGCCCTTCCCAGGATCTCAATGGTCTGGGGCACCCCATCCTGCAGCTTGTCCTCCACGGCGGTGGCACCCAGCAGCTGGGGAGAGAAGGAAGGGTGAGCTCCGGGGGGCCGGTGGGGAGCCTCCGCCAAAGGGCTGGCGCTTCGTGCATCATTCGTCGGCCACGATCTTGGCCCAGCCCGTCCAGCCTCCAGCCTCCTGTTGCCAGGCGAGCCACTCCGCATTCACGGCGGGTGTGTTGGGGGAAGGGCAGAGGGAGCCATCAAGCCAGGGGCCAGAACAGGCCGGCGTTTCTCAAGTGCCCCTTCAGTGGGTCTGTGGCCTTCCTGCAATCTTTTGGGGAATGTGCACTGCAGGCAGGCAAGTAAAAAATCCCGGGTAATGATGCCATGTAGCTTTAGGAAAGCGGAACGTTTTAAGAGGCTCGCAGCCCAGAACCCGGAGTGCAGCGCCCTGAAATATTAGCCAAGGTGAGAGCATCAAGGCCCACCCTGTGCCCCAGAAGGGAAGGACAACCGCTCTGAGCAGGGCGGTGGAAACACGTCCAGACCGATGGGATGCGGGCCATACCATCCATCTTGGCTTGCAGGGGAACTCCTGCAAGTGCTGGTAATAAGGTGATGGGTGGCAGGCAAGGAAGGCCCATCTCTCCAAAACAGGGGAAACCACGCACACTACGTGGGAGCAAGGGCCGGGCAGGCCAGTTTCATGTGGGGGAGCCCAAGAAGCCCCAGAATGAATGGGCAACACCCAGTGGATCTGGGCTGAGCACAAGAGGGCGAGGTGAGCATGAATGAGGGGTTGAGGTGCCTGGGAGGAAATGAGGAAGGACCCAACGGCCAACCGGAGAGAAGGAAAGAGGGAGGAGCCAAGAGGGAGGGAGGGAGATCAGGGGGGGGGGCGATCCTTCAAAGAGAGGAGGGAGGTGCTTAAAAGATCCAAGGCAGGGGCAGTGGGTTTAAATAGGTCTCAGTTCCGTCCTCTGGTTTCCCTCCTGCCTTGAACGTCCCTGGCCGAAGACCACCTGGCTCCCTCCCTGCCCTGTGCGCCCCAAGGCTGACCTTGGAAGGCAAGGCAGGTGTGCGTAGGTGTGTGCAGAACCCAGGCACCCTGCACCTAAGGCTCGGTCTCGCTCTCTCCACCCCGACAGAGAGCTCAAGAGAAGGAAAACGGAGCATCAAGTCTCCTCTCGGGAGATGATCCTCCCCAGGGATAAGCTTGATCCAAGCTTGGATCAAGGTCTGGGGAATTTGCCTGTAATTTACCCTGTTGCAGCCGAGGATGTGTGTATGTGTGTGTGTGTGTGTATGTGATGGTGTAATTCTGCTCTTTAGCTGCCTCAAGCATAGCCCTGAAGGTGGCGGCCCTTGACCACCACCCCTTTCAGCAGAACCTGGTGCCACGGGTGCTGGGTGATTCAAGGGTGTCGGGAAACTGCTCGGGCAGGAGCTGGGGGCTCCCAATTGGCTGGGAGATGGGAGATGGGAGGAGGGGCTGTGCCAACTGCCTACCTGCAGGTCTCTCTCGATCTCCTCAAACACCTCGGACAGCTTCCCCTCTCGGTCCTGCAGGCTGGTGTTTGCCTTGTGGTGGCGCTCCTGCCAGCTCTCAAAGTAGGACTCCTCCAGGTCTCGGTAAGCTACCACCAAGGTCCGCAAACCTTCCCCAGCAAACTCCTAGGGAGACAGCAGGCTCAGAGCCCCGAGCCACCCATCAAGGGCCAAAGAAGAAGAAGAAGCAATGTGGGGGCTCAACTTATTCTCCAGAGGGCCGGACAAGAAACAACGGGTGGAAACGGGTCAAGGAGAGGAGCAACCGGGAACGAAGGAGGGATTTCCTGACCGGGAGGACAGTTAGTCAGTGGGGTTCAGAAGTTGCAGGCGCTCCTATTCCTGGAGGCCTTCAAGAAGAGACTGGACAGCCCCTTGTCTGGAAGAGCATAGGGTTTCCTGGTTGGGCTAGAAGACCTCCAAGCTCCCACCCCACATTCAACCTGCAGGGAGGGAGGTCCCACTCAGGAGCACCTCTGGCTATCAGACCTGCAAAGCCAACCTAGGGGAGGCCTGGGCCTCCAGGGGTTTGAGCCCGGCCCCACCTGGCGGTTGTGCCACGGGGTCTGCCTCGGGGCATGGCGGCTGCTCCCCGGGGAGTCCTTTGCCCCATGGCCTGGGAAGGAGCCGCCCTGGTGGATTCCTGACACAGACGAAGGAGCAGCGTTGTTCTCTACGGCTCCAGAGGGCAGGACTCTGGGCAACCAGGGAGCTCAAACCCCACAGAAAAGGGTCCAGACCAGGCTAGAGAAGCGGCCGGTGAGTCCCTCCAGCTGCTACATCAGCGCTTGGGGTCTTCCAGCAGAGACTGGATGGGGGCCCCTCAGTGCAGGAGGCCAGCCAGCAACTCTGCAGCCAGCTCTGCTACCTTCTGGGCCCAGCTCTGCTGCTGGCATTGAGAAGGCCCGGGGTGGGGGGGGACAGCTCTGTCTCACGTTGGAAGGAGTAGCACAGCTGAGGGGCCTGTGGGGCCAGAAAGAAGCAGGTGGCAAGCCAGCCAGCCAGCCAGCTTCCTGCCTGCGCTTGGGAGAAGTGGGGAGGGGGGGCAGTCCGCTGGGCCAGGGAGACCTACATCCAAGTGCTCGGTGGTCTCTTCCTCGAGCTGCTTGCAGGAGGGGTGGAGGAGCTGGTACAGGATGGTGTCGGCCCCTTTGCAGTACAGAGTCAGCTGGCCACTCGGGTTTCGCACTGGGAACAAGGCAAGAAGGGCAGAAGGTGAGTCTACAGCGGATGGAGCCCCGAAAAAGACCTGTCCTCCCTGCCACCTCCTCTCTCTTCCCTCCCCTCCAGCATCCCTCCTGCAAACCACCGAAGATGCCCCAGGTAGCCTGTCTGAAGGGCCCCAGTCCTCCTGCGCTGCAGGTGCCTTGTCTGAATTGCTCCTCACTAATTGCACTTGGACATCGCTGGAGCAAGAGGACATCGGTGGCTCAGCCTGGAACTGTCTTGGAGGCTCTCTGAGGTTGTGTCAACTCACAAAACATTTTGTGTGCACGTTTTCTAGTTGTCAATAGAGAGGAGGGGTGGGAGGAGTTTGAAAGAGCAGGCAGCTGGGAGGAATCGAAAGGACATCCCAGTCGCATTTTCTTCAGAGACCGATTAGATGACTGAAACTTCTGTGGTGCCAAAATCTAATTGGAGAGCAGGATTGAGGACTCTTGGCTATCAACATGCTTTGTTGGAGAATTGAATTATGATCAACCCAGAGGGGGGTGGGGGGGGAAGCAGGGCCTAGGGTCTCCGTGAATTACGTGTCTCCGGGTCTGCAGGTGAAGGCGACATGTTGATTTCCAGTAAATCCTGTGATGTTTTGGGAATGTGACTCCAGAGTCATGATTTACTTGGAGTAACTGCTGGAATCCTGACAGATTGGGGCTTGTCTTGCAGACGTTTCATTACCCAACTAGGCTACAACATCAGCCCTGACGATGCTATCTGGTTTGGCAATGAAACATCTGCGAGAAAACCACCAAGCCAAGAGAACCCCAAGGTCCCCACTGGTGCATCGGACCAGGGACCCCAGCAAGGTCTTGGGGTTGTGCAGCGCAACGGTTTCTGCTGCGGCGCGAGACAAACCTCCGGGCGGGAGGGGAGCTTGAGCAGAGAGGGAAGGAAGAGAGACACACACCAATGACGGACATCCTTTTGCGCACATTGTTGAAGTCCAGAATGGCCAGCAGATCGTAAACCACCGTGGTCCCCATTTCCACCACAGTGATGGTCGTGGGGGTGCGGGCACGAAAGACAAAGCCGAAGTTCCGGGCCGCAGTCACCAAGGCCCCCTCGTCCGGCGACTGGGCTTGGTACACCAGCGTGCCTGTGGGCAAGGAAAGGTTTTGCAAGCATCAGCCCACCTCTGCAGCCGCCGTGCCCTCCTCTGCCAGCTCTACCGGGCAGCGCGGCCTCACCATCCTTGGTTTCCTCCGGCATCACTGTGTGGCAGAGGGAAAGGAGGCGGAAGAACCGGTGTGTGGACTCATCCTGGGCCTTCACCGCTTCAAGCAGTCTGCAGTCATAAAAGGCGAACTTGGGGTCGGCCAAAGGGTTCCATGAAAAGTCAACTCTGTCCATCGCCTGCGGAGGAAGTTAGGAGGGTCAGCCTCTTTTGCTCTGGGCTGGGCATTCACCCAGCCCCCCACAACGGGGAAGCAAAGCGACTTGTGGGGCTCCTGAATACATACTCCTTGACTCGCCACCAACCCCCCCCCCCCAAATCAACCTACTTTGTGAGGAGATGCCCACACTAACGCCATCCTCAACCCCGCCTGGCCGTGCCCACCTTGTCTTCCTCTGTGTTAAAAGCGGTGAGTCCAACTTCTGACGGCCTGGGTGGGGGTGGGGGGATGTGGCACTTTCCTGCTTCCTGGTAGGTGCCCTCCTTGCAATTTCATCCTGGCTGGGGGGTGGGGTGGGGTGGGGTGGGCGGTCCGCTTCCCTCCAGAAAGAGCTGCCCGCACTTTGCCAGGCGCTCCTGGGCTGCCTCTCTCCTTTGGCACCCAGCGCCTGGTTCCCGGAGAGGCTGATCTCAGCTTCAGGCAAGAGGGGATGGGGACCCGCATTTGCCTCTAGGGGGGAACAGCCCACCCGAGTGCTGTGAAGGGCAGGCGGGGGGGGGCATTTTCCTACTCTCACGGTCCACTTTCTGCCGGCCTCTTCAGTGATGTGAGATCTGGGGAGCTGAGCTGGAGCCACACTGACAAGTCTTGTGCCAGTTTCCCTTCGGGGGACGGTAAAAAAGGCTCTACAAGACCACTAAGCTCCTGTCCAAAAGAAGCCCCGCTGGACAGGAAGGGAGCCAAGCCCCTCCCCACCACCGTCCCCTGGTCACCCAGAGTGGGAAGAAAGTGGACATCAGAAAACCTGTGGGCCTTCCTGTCAGTCAACTGCACTACCACCACAGGGCCTTCCCCACGGACAGAAGCCCTTCCAGTTCCAATGTGAGGTAGGGTTGGGGGAGATGGAATTGGGGAGCCCCCCCCGAATCCTCTTCCACTCTCAGCCAGGGCTGCTGTGCAGGAGAGCAGATCCCCTGGGAGCGGAGTCCCCCGACGTGGCCTTCCGCCTGCAGCGTGGATGGACGCCTGGAGGTCACCACCGCGGGGATACAACCAGCCCCGTTTCAAAGGAGGCTTGGCGGAGAGTCCCTTACCTCAATGTCCTCCACCAGGAATCCCTCTGAATCCAGAATGTCCCCTGTGGGAGAGAAACAGGCCGGCTCTGAAGGACAACCAGGGCCTCTCTGCCCCAGGGGCTTGGGGGTGGGGGGGGCTCCTGTCCCCCCCTTTCTGTTCTGAAACCCCAAACCTTGGCTCTCATCACCCAGAACACCCAGACAGGGGGATGGTCAAGACCAGACCACCCTTGGACACACCCCAGGTGATCCTTCATGCTGAGCACACGCGACCGTCAGAGGGAGACCCTCCTCCAGAGGGCTTTTATCCGCCTCTTGGCCACTCTGAGCCCACCTGAGGCAGAGGGGGGGCGGGGGGAGGGGGCTGACTGTGCCTTCAGAGCAATGAGCCTCCCTGTCACTGGAAGGAAGCCTGATTGAACTGCTGTCCTGGGGGGGGGGGGGGTTGGCGATTGCTTTCAATAGGCTTCTCCTATTTTCCTCCAGAGCTCTCCTCATCCCGCTGCACTCAGGATCTCTAGTAAAAGTACGTTTTCTCTAAAACCTGCGGATTCCAGGGTCCTTCTTGGGGCCTGTCTGACACCCCTAGAATGTTTCTGGCTGGGAATGCCTGCCTGCCTGCCCGTTTTCCCTGTCCGGCAAAGGGCCCTCGCCCCTTATCTGAAAGGGATTTGGGGGGGCAGACTGTGAAGCTCCCCTCCCCCTCGGCTCCTCCTTTTCTCCTCCAGGAACGGCAGGGGGCGGGGGGGGCTGGCCCCAGAGCAGGCAGAGCTCCGAGGCGCTTCCGTCTTTCCATCTTACAGGGGGGAGACGCCCCTCCCTCCGGGCTCTTCTTACCGTAGACCTTCCCGGCGACGCAGCACTTGTTGAAGATCATGATGTTCTTAGTGAGGGTCCCCGTTTTGTCAGAGAAGATGTATCTGATCTGCCCCAGCTCCTCGTTGAGGGTGGTGGTGCGGGCCTGGGCGGGCATATCGTGGGGCGGGTAGTACATCTTGTGGTCCCAGTCGATGTAGCAGCTGTTGCCCAGGCGAATGATCTCAACGCTGGAGCAAAGGAGGACAGGCGCTGGGGCCCTGGCAGGGAGGGAAGGGTCCGGTGCCCACTCCCACCCCGGCAAGGCGACAGGGTCCAGCCAGCTGTGCCTCCAGGCGAGGTGACCTTGTGCTAGAGCCGCAAGCACAGACAGGTGGCCCAAGGACTCCTGTTGCCCATGGCTGGCGTGTCATGGGTTCCTTTAAGAACCACCCCCTGTATTGGAGGGACAAGGCCCCCTGGCCTCTCCCACTGCCCCCCCATCAAGTTCGGCAGAGCCACCCAAGGGATGTGGGTTCTGGGTGACCCCTCCACAAGGGAGCCTGCCGCTCAAGCATCCCTCCTCAATGGCAGCTCCTCCAGGATAGGACCACCTCCAGGAGCAGGGGAGAAACGGCCCCGGCCCCAGTAGGCTCAATGGGGTCTCCTTCCAAGCTGGGGGTGGGGGGGTGGGAGCCTGGCTTGACCCCTCAGTCACCGTCTTACCTGACATAGAGAGAAATGGGCACCACGGTGTTGAGGATGATGACATAAGACCAGAACACAAGAAATGCAGAGAAAAATGCCGAGTTGACATCTGTTGCCCAGGGCAGGTACACCTGGAACCGGTAGCCCTGGTTGTATTCCCAGATGCAGTTGCCGATGGCCAGGATCAAACACATGATAGCCAAAAAAAGGAAGATCTACTGAGAGAGAGAAATTGGTAGCAGCAGCCCAGGTGGCAGAGAAGGACTTGCCCCTCATGGGACCAGCCCCGTCCCCTCCGTCCAGAGCAGCCATGACCCAGACCAGGCAGCCCTCCCTCTGGGCACCTGAGCCACCTCTGTGTGTCACACATCACATCAAAGGGTTCAAATAGGACATCCAGTCCAGCCTTTCTGCTCGGAGGCAGGGATGGACCCCCTGGAGCCTCCGCTGGAAGGCCTCCAACGGAGAGCTGGCTCTCTTCCCCAAAAACTTTAACCTTAGACTGTCTACTACTGACCTCACCCCTTTCCTAAGAGGTCCGTAGGGGGCCTGCATAAGCGCACCAATGTGCCTACCGTCCCTGTCCTATTAATTCTTTTTATTTTTCTTATAAGTATCTATCTCATGTATTCAAAACTATGTATATACTTATACCTATTATCTTGTAAGCAATTGACAAATCAAATAAATAAAAATAAGTGAATAAATCAGAGGATGGCCTTTTCCACTGGCTGACATCTTACCAGTTTGGTAGTTTAGAGAGGGCTGTAAATCCCTGTGAAGCGGTATAAAAGTCTCAGTGCTATTGCCATTATTGACAGCTTCCATGCTTGGTCCCTTTTAGTTATATCACGGCAACTATTCTTGTGCAATTGTTTTATTAAAAATTATATTAAACTGATAAAACAAATAGAGAACCTCATAGAAAAATACATTTAAAAAGAAGAAAAAATATACTAAACAGTGTGGAAAAAAGAAAAATACACCCCCCCCCAAAGAAAGCAAGAAAAATACACCTCCCCCTTCATCCTCAGCATCACTGAAGCACCTCTTGGCCAAAGCGCCCTAAGCAAACCCAAAGAAATCAGCTCAAGAAGAGAAAACTGGCATCATTTACAGCACCAGCTGGGGATTTACGGAGTGGAATTCCACAAGCTTTAAAGTTTCGAAGTTGAACTGCTCTGTTTTAGACCAGGCAAGAATTCCCAGACGCTTTGCTCTACGAGTGATCAGGCAACAGACATCGAGAGCCACGGTCCATTTATGAGTCATTCCAAAGAGAACAACCAAAGATCAGAGGAAAGAGACCCCGAGGCCATTCTCCCCAACGGATTGTAGGAATGACAAAAGGCCTAGGGTTTCCTGCCTAAGTCGTGGGTAGGACTGGAACAGGGGTGTCAAACTGGATTTCCTCAAGGGCCGGATCAGCATTGTGGTTCTCCTCTGAGATTGGGGCGGGGTGCCTCCTGTGGCACCCTGCTGGCCAAAAAGGGGTGCGGGGGAGCTGTGTGTGGCCCCCCCGCACCTCATTTTTGTCCTCCAGGGCCTCCTGCAGCACTCTGGCCCATTTTGGGGCTGTTTTTTGGCTGTTTTCGGCCCATTTCAGCCAGCAGAGTGCTGCAGGAGGCCATGAAGGGTGAAAACAAGATGGGGGGGGGGGGCTGTTTTAACCACCAGAGGATTAGGGTTGATATTTCCAGCCCGGCCCCATGGGCCGGATTTAAGCACCCCGCGGGCTAGATCTGGCCCCCTGGCTTTGAGTTTGACCCCCCTCAAGGTCCCTTCCAACTCTGTTATCCTATTTTATTCTTTCCCACCTTCTCCGGGGATGGGCCTTCAGGTCTCTCAGGGTGAAACCCATTGCCCACAATTGAGCCCATCCACTCTGCGGCTCCTCTTTCGTTCTTTCCATCTTCTTCAAGGTCCGACTTTTGCTTCCAGGGAGTGTCACAAGGAGTGACACGGATTGCACAATTCCGACTTCTGACGGCAGAGACACATCAAGGCATATTTGAACGCATCTTTTCCAGGGCCTTCTGGAAAAGCTCCACCAAATGCTACATTAGCTCCACCAAATGCTAATAGTCCGTGGTGCATTTTTTGAGTGCTTGTTGCTTTGCCGTTGGTGGGTGATCCTCAAAGGCAGAAACAACCCACCCTTTTAATACCTGTGTTGTCAGCTCTAAGGATGGTTGTTCCACCGTTCGCCCTTATTTGATCTCCTTTGTGTTTAATTCTAGTCACATTTTTCTCACTCTTCTCCTTAACTTTTATTGCTAGACTGCAGATCCTTTGAACTGTTTGCCTATTGGAATGAGGTCACCAGCACAGCAAAGGGTATTTATGTTTCTTCCTCCGATTTTCTAACCAGGCTCATCTTCCAATCCTGCCTCCCTTAACTAAGTATATTCTGTATATATGTTGAATAAAGGCACGGAGGGTGTGGGGCCTGGCCCTTTGCCGGCCTGTCTTGTCAGGCCCTGTCCATTCTGCGTCTTCCTGATCTGCGTTACGGATTTCTCACGAGGAGCGGCACTGATCTCCTGCAATTCCTGTTTTTTTCTGAGCACACTTCACATCTGGGTGTGATCGATGCAATTGAAGGCTTTCCTATAAGAGATGAAGCAAATGGCGGCTTCTTTTTGGTCTCCTTTGGCTTTCTCAAGGATAGGAGCCGCGGCGGAGCAGTGCTTAGAGTGCAGCACTGCCAGTCCTACTTCTGCCGCCTGCAGTTTGGCAGATCGAATCCCACCAGGCTCCAGGTGGACTCAGCCTCCCGTCCTTCCGAAGTGGGTACAACGAGGACCCAGATTGTTGGGGGCAAAGAGGCAGACTCTGTAAACCGCTCAGAAAGGGCTGGAAAAAGGACCGTGAGGTGCTATGTAAGTCTGAAGTGCTCTTGGGCCTTTCCGGAAGCCCCTTCGGCATCTGCCCCCCCCTTTCCCCATGCAGGGCCCGGATCTCCAGCTAAGGGACCGTTAAGAGGTTTAAATTTGAATAGCCGGAGTCCAGTGAGCCCTAACACACAGATGTGGTTGATTGATGGCTCCCGTGTGAGGCCATCGGTGCTGTGATTGGCTGCTGTGGGTGTGGAGGAGGCGTTTCCCCCTTTCCCCGCCTTTTTCTCCGGTCTGCCCTGTGTGCTCGGTGCTTTTACCCCAGGATGCTCCCCTTGGCCCGACTGCCTTGCCTGCTGCAAATATTGATGTGGAGTGTATTTCTCAGTATAAAACTATATGTTCGTATCCGCGTGTCGTCGAACTTCATTTGAACACCAGCTGGGCAATTCCCTGACAGGGACCCCGAGCCTTATTTGGCCAGCGTGAGAAATTAAGGCTATTGTGTTCAGGAGACCCTGTTAAAACTCCTCTGTCTGGCACTGACGTGCAGGCCTGAAAGTCTGAAATCCTTTCGATATTTTGTCATTCTCCAGATTTGCTGGCACAGCTTGGTTGCAACCTTCCCTCCTCACCCTTGCCTTATTCCTGCAGATGTCCCCTCAATTCCCATGGGAGATAGAAGCCTCTCATCTCGCACCCGCTGAGGCGGCGCCAGAGAAGCGCAACCAGCCCCACTGAAGGAAAAGCAGCCCAAACGAAACAAGGGCCACGCAAACAACGCGAGGCGGGCAGGGCCATCTGCTGCGCCCGAAGAAACACCAAGCCCCACTTTGTGCCAACCCCGGGACGGGGTTGTGGGCTGAGGTAGTGAAATGTCTGTCAGGAAAAAGGCCAAGCTCAGAGAACACCAAGAGCCCAACAAGTGGGGGGCCACTTGCCTGATGCGCTCTGGGGCTGGACTAGAAGACCTCCGAAGCCCCTTTCAGCTCTGTGATTCTGCTAAGGCTCCTCCGTTGTTTTGTGGGGGAGACCTCCGAGAGGAAGCCAAGCCCGTTTGGGCTGAGGAAGACCGGCCTTTACCGACCTTCAGCGTGATCTCTGGGGCAGCCCAAGTTATGAAGCCCAAGCCAGCCAGCAAGACTCACCACCAAGACCAAGTAGTTCATGAGGCGCTCGATGCTGGTCCGTTTCAAAGTGGTTTTCCCGCTGTTTTGCATCAGCTTGGTGTCTGGCCCTGGCGGAACCAACCATGGGAGCTGGGGGTTTGCTTTCGGAAACAGAATGTTCTGCACCCAGAAAGGGAGGAGCCCCTGCCCCTCGTCTCCAGGCCCCCATCCCGTGACCCACCCGCAACCGGAAAGGAGACAAACCTGTCCGAAGAGGGAGGGAGAAGGCAGCGCTTTCTCTGGGGAAGAACGGAGGGCAAGCAGAGGAGAAAGGGGTCCTGGCCGGGTGGGTGGGGGGGCACGTGGCAATGCCTCAAGAGAAGCCCCCGGCACCAGCTCTGGCACGGGGAGGGTCTTTGCAGGGAAGGGGGGCTCTGCTCTTTGGGGAAACCAGCTTCCTAAATGCTGCCAAGGGGTGAATGGGCGCCTCCGGGCAGGTGGCAAAGGAGTTGAGCACTGAAAGGTGGAATCTTAAAATGAACCCCGGATCTAAAAGGCAAGCAAAGCCGCTCCAGCCTTTTAATTTATTCCAAATTTTAATAGAAGTTGCCTTTGCAGGCTGGCCGCACCACGTATCTTTCACGACATACGCTGAATATCTACAGTAAACGGCTGGACTGGAAGAAGAGGGAGGTTTTAAAACTGGAGGGAGAGACATCCATCGCCTGTGCGAGGCTGACAGTGCAACCCTGACACCAGGACCTGCAAGCCCTGGCACTAAATATCAAAGAGCACAGGCAAAGAAATGGGCCTAAAATTAAACCAAAGGAAAGGCCAGAACAGGTAGAAGAACCGGCCTTAGAACTGGCAGGGAAGAGATGGAAGCGACCGAGAGCGTTTCCCCTTTAGGATCCGTTTCGGAACTGTAGCGGCAGTCAATCCCTTGGGCGATCACTTTGGCCGGCCCCACCCAGGGCTGAAGCTCTGCAACTGGCCTGGGGGAGGAGGGACCCCAACCCTCGAGGGGCTCCGTGGGGCCCCATCAGACATGCTGGGCCGCTATCCGGAAGCTGCCCTAGAAGCGTCTAGCCCTCCAGTGCAAAGGGGAGGGCAAAGGGGAGGGGTGGGAGTAAGGGCTTCAGTGGGGAAGGACCCAGGAGAGGAGAGAGACCAGTGCCAGCCAGTCTCCCACACCCACCAGCAAAGATGACCAGTCCGAAGCACCACTCGGTGTTGCGGATGATGCAGCCCCGCAGCAGCAGCTGCTCGTTGTCCAGGGCGTATTTCTCCTTCTTGAAGGAGAGGGTCCCGGTGAACCTGCCCAGCCGGTTGTTGGGGGCTTCGCAGCGGATTTCCCCTGCAGATGAGAGGAGGATGACTCCCAGCCCCTCCTCCCCTCTCCCCCTCCCCACAGGGCCGCCAAAGACCACCCCAGGCCACCTCCACATGCCCTCAGCCCTCCCCCAGGCAGGACCCTGCCTCCTCCCCACAAGTGGCCGGGTCACCTGACCTTCTGCCCCCCCCCCGCCCCCCTCCCATGTTTGCCTTCTGGCAGCCATCCCCTAGTTGTAGCAGGGACTGAAAAGGAAGCTTGGGCTCCCAAGGGGGGGTGCACAGCAGGCCCCCCTCTGCTCTGACTGAGCCCCCTCAGCACCCCAACCCTATGGGGCTGGCAGACCCCCCTGGGTGAGGGCCCTGCCAACATACCCACCCTGGGAGGAGCGGCCATGCCGGAGTGCCACGACAAGACCCCTCGGCCCTCAGAGGAGTGAAGAGGATCAGGGAGAGAAGGAAAGAGGGCAGAGATCTGTGAAGAGAAGGGGGGGTTGGGGGGGGGGTGGAGGCAGAGAGACAGATGGCAAGAGCCCAGAGGCAAAGGCGGGTGTGTGTGTGTGTGTGTGTGTGTGTGTGTGTTCTTGAGGCCGTGACTGCCTGGAAGCCACATCGTGCGGGAGTGGGTAGTGGTGGACAAATATATTAGTGCAAGAGAGAGTGTGCAACGTGACTGCAGCCTTTGCCCTCAGGTGTGCCAATTGTTAGTAGTGCTATTTCGAAAGGCTGCAGAGCGACTTGAAGCTAAAAAGCAGAAAGCAGTGAAGACAAGGTCCAACGCATCCAGAAAACCACACCCCATAATCCATAAGTCACAACTTCCAGGCCTCCATAAACCTCCCCCCTCACCCCCCCCCCCACCGGGGCTGGGAGAACATCCTCAGGGTGAGGAATTGGGAGTCACAACTCCTGACACGAGACTCTCTAGCTTTGCACCCACAAAATGCTCACCCAGCTGGGCTTTGGGAGTCAGCGTCTCTCTGGCCAGGCAAGGGGAGGCAGTGCAGGCAGCCCCCAATCACAGCCCCCACAGCTGGCTCAGAGCCCCCCCCCAGGGCCTTGTCCTGACTCCCACCCCTATCCAGACGGACCAGCTGCTCGAGAGGAAGGAAAGGCATTGCCAGGGAAAAGCGGGTGGGGCAACACCAGAGCCCAAATCAGCTCCAAGGGGCCACCCTGACCCAGACGTGCCCCCAGCCCCTCCCTCTGGGCCCCGGTGGCAGAAGCCCAGGGCTGCTCAGCCGGCCAGGCCTCCCTCCCCTCCGTACCATTGAAGCTGCTCAGGGCCTGCAGGTCTCCCCCCAGCCCTGCAGTGACGGTCAGCGCCTGCTTCACCTTCAGGTTGGTTTCCCTGCAACGAGAGAATGGAGGGAGGATGCACCACCACCCAGCGATCACGCGGGCGGGAGACCAAGGGCGCCCCAGGAAGGCTCCCAGGAGGCGGGATGGAGGGTCTGGCTGCCCACCGAGAGGGAGGGGGCCCAGACCCTTACCCGTCCAGTTCCGTTGTCTCAATGTAGGTCAGGCTGTGGGGCTCACTGCTGCAGAGCAAGAGGATGTCCGCCTGCCAAGGGGAGGAGCCGGTGAGACGGGATCTCGGTGGAGGCCTCTCTTTCCAGGGCACAAAACCTCATCCCGGCAACCGGAGGGCGAGGCCGGCTTGCGGTGGCTGACCTGTGCCCTTGGACACCCCCCCCCCGCCTGCCCAATGGCACGGGATGCCAGGGTTGTCCTTCTGCAACAAGGGCAGGGGCGGATCGGTGCCAATAATCCCCCAGGCGCCGGCCGCTTATCCTCTCAGCCTCCCTCCCGGGGACCCTGGCTGTGCCACATGGCCTCCGAGGGACCCCTTTGCCATGTCCGAAGGCTGCAGGTGGGAGAGGCCGAGAGCTCTGCAGAGCCAAGGACGGCAAGACAGGCTGGCTGCATCTGCCTCTGCCCGAGGGCCCCCCAACCTCCAGCCCGGCTGGGCTTCTGCCCGAGAGAGCCCTGGGAGCCCCTTCCATGCTGGGGCGTCTATTTGGTCAGGGCTGACCGGACTGGCCCGGGGCAAGAGAGCTGCTCCCGAAGGAGCCCCCTGGGATGCCCTCGGCCTGAAGGGATGCGGGGGAGGAGCGGCCTTCGCTTACGGTCACGAAATTGTTGTTCTCCAGCTTGATGATGTCTCCCACTTCAACGTTGAGCCACAAGTCTTCCTTTAAGCTAGAAGAAAACCCCGGTCACAAAAGCACCAGAGAGGAAGGGCCTCCCTCGGCAAGTCTCCCGCGTCTTTGGGGGGTTTTTTTTGGGGGGGGGGAGCAGCCGCGAGTCGGCTTTGGCAAGACGCCTGACTGGCATCGAGATGCTTCCTGGACTTTTCCATCTGGGAGGATTTGTGATTCTGATTGCAGGAAAACGGTGTATTTGGGGTGAGGGGTCCCCCTGGGTGCTGGTCAAGAGGGAGACTGACCCTCTCTGGTTGACTCCGCCTTCCCTCCTTCCGAGGGGGGTCAAGTGAGGACCCAGACTGTTGGGGGCAACGGGCTGCCCCCATCAACCGCTTAGAGGGGCCTGTCAAGCTCTGGGAAGCGGCACATCAGCCCTGAGTGCTCTTGCCCACGGAGGAGAGGAAACTTCAGGGCTGCGTTCAGAGATGCGGCTTTGGCCTCTGAGTGGGCGGACAAACCCACCCATGAAAGGAGGCTGGTCCCAGCTTGGGGGGGCGGGGGGGCTTGATCCTTGACACCAGTTCCCTCTGGCTGTGGAAACCTCCACCAGGGGCCTCTGGACCAGCAGGGAAAATACCCTCCAACCTCGTGAAGGAGCTTCTGGGACTTGCCAGCCGTTCACTGTGTGCATCCAGCCGGCCGCTCACCTGCCATCAATCAGAACCTTAACGGGCCGGTTGTTGACCTGCTTGTCATTTGCGTGGCGATTCTGAAAAAAAACCACCAAAAAACCACAACCCGAATCAGCCAAGCCACAGAGAGGGCACCCAAGACTGGCTCTGACCCAGCCTGGCACCTGCCCAGCCTTCTTTGGGCAGGATTTCGGGAGCCCTCGAAGCGGGGGATGCGTATGCTGTGGGCAGGACGGCCGAGGGCAGGAAGCGGTGGCCTCCCTGGGACATTTGCCGCCCTTCCTCCTCTCAAGTCTCCCCCGTCCGCATTGTCCAGACTTGGGTGGAGGCCAAGAGCGGCTGCTCCGAAGGCTCCTCCAGACCCCCCCCTCCCCTCCCTCTAGGGCCAGAGAGGAAGTCATGTCTGCTGCTGACACCTCCTCTGGACACAAAGCGGGGGGACGGGTCCCTCGCCAGACTCTTACAACGTCATCCATGGCATCCTTGACTGCGGACACGGTCAGGACCAAGACCAGGGGGACCACGGTGGTGAACCAGGAGAGGGAGGAGATCTCAGGGATGAGCTGCAGAGGGAGAGAAAGATCAGGATGCCCAGAAGGCTCGGGGGGGGGGATTTCCCCCCCTGACTTGGCAGGCAGAGGGGCTAAAGAGGAGGCCTGGGAATCAGCCTCTCCCCCACGGCTTCCCATAAACGCCCCTCTTCCGCTGTCTCTGTGCCTGCAGAGCACCCAAGAGCCAGCGGAGGAGGAGGAGGAGGAGGGTGAGGGCAGCAGAGGCAGAGTCCACCCAGGAGAAGCTCGTGGGTTGCAAGAGAGCCGCCGATCGTCCCTTGGAAAGGATTCGGGGCCGCTCTCCCCTGCCAAAGCCGAACCGCCATGGAGGCTGCTGAAGGGGACAAGGGGGTTGGTTCCAGGGCAGGAACTAATGGGGGGGGGGCAGCCAACTGGAGGTGGCCACTCAACCGCTCAAGGGGAAGCTGTGTATGACGTATGTGACTAAGCGAAGCCCCCCCCCCCAGGAAGGGGAGGCGTACAAATGGTGCCGTGAGAAGCTCAACAAGAATGGAAGAGAAGGCGGGACCTGCAGTTGTTGTGGTACACTTGACAGTTTGTGGGGAAACCGCCAAGCCTGTCTGCCCGGCTTGTGCCGAGAAAGTCCGAGAAGGCCGGAGCAGGGCGTCTTCGACTCAGAGGAGGCACAGAGACTCCCCAGGCCGAGGGAGGCCACTCTCCACAAGCAAAAATTCAAAGATGCCCGCCTCTTCGAGAGCAGAGGCAACCAAAGGGAGAGACTCAGCCACTTGCCGGACTTGTGGAAAGCAGGGAGGGGCCGGCCTGAGGGCATCTAGCCTCAGGGCGGCTCCATAAGTGAAGGCAGATGAGAGAAGTGGAGCAGGCCAGGGAGAACGGAAGCTGAACGCCGGGAGGTGAAGGGCTGTGAGGAACCGTAGCTGCTGCTCAAAGCCCTTGAGGTGGCTTCTAACTTTCTTCAGGACAGGAAGCCTTTGACTTATGACGGCCATCGAAGCTGGAATTTCCATTGCTAAGTGATGTGGTCATAAAGTGCAACTGTACCCCTCAGTGACGGCAATCCCTGCAGTCACAAGTGTTGTTGGCGTTAACCAAATCCCATTAGGTGAAGCAACTTCCTGGGAAGTCACTAGAGAAGCCGGCAGGAAGTTGCAGGTCCCAGGCCTTCAGTCAGAGAAGCAACTGGCTCCTGCTGGGTGGGGGGAGGGAGGGAGGGAGCGAGTGGAGGGGGGACAAGGGGGGGTGCCCCAAAGGCGCAGCATGGGGAGGGGGCAGGGGAGGGTGTGCAAGAGGGGCTGCACAGGCTGGAGAGATGGCACAAGGTGGAGCAGTGGGTGGGGGGTCTGGGGGTTGCAGTGAGGAGGATTGGGGAGGGGGGGGTTGCCCAACTGGCCAGCGCAATGTGAGCGTTGTGCGAGGAGGGCCTAAGGGAGGGGGCACGAGTGGGCAGGGGGGGAACCTACGCCAGCAAGTTGCCACCTTCCCTGCAGGTTTCCCCACTGTAAATTGGCAAGTAATGATACGTGTGAATGGGTTGCCAGGAACCCGGATCAAGGTTACAAGATTTGGGGAGTTCTGGGACAGCCGCACCTGTGAGGACCAAGTGGAACCCTCCTTTATTCAGTGCCACCTTAACCTGGCACAGTCACTGGCCGAATGGTCGTAGGTCGAGGACAAGATCCAGGAGCTGTTTGGCAGGGAAGGCGCAACCAGGGGCCTTCTCGGGGTCCTCTCCAGGCAGCGCCCCCCCTTTCCGGTGCCCCCAACCCTGCCCAGGCCCCTGCCGGAAGGGACCCCGAAGGGAAGACTCGCCTGCAGGATGAGCAAGATGAGGAAGTAGGCATTGGCCACGCGCTGGAATTGCTCGAAGAGGTTGAGAGGCAGGAAGGTGAACAGGTTGTACTTGGAGGTTTTGATGGAGTTTTTCTGTGGACAGAAGACGTCCGTGAGAAGAATGGGAGAGGGGCAGCGTCACTCAGCCCCCCCCCTCCCGAGGGCCCGGGGGGCAAAGAGGGCACTGCTGCCCCCAGAGCCCTGTTCCCACAGACTCTCCGCTCTCCTCTCTCTGCCATGGGGGGGGGGGGAATCTGGTTACTTACAGCATAATCGAACTGCAGGTTGTAGGCCCGGTCGTTTGCCCGCAGGCACCGCTCCTCCTCTGCAAGGCAAGCGTGGGAGTTGGGTGCCGGGATGGGGAGGCCAAGCGGTGGGTGGCAAGGCTGGAATGGGGCCCCGGGGCCCTCCTGCCTCTTGGCTGGGGTGGGGGCCATGGCGATGCAGCATTCAGGAGAGGAAGGGAGGAGGGTGGGCAGACAGCCATGCCCCCTCCCAGCCAGCTTTCAGCAAGCCTATTTCTCCCACCCACCCGCCCTCCCACCCCTGAGCCAGGGGTCCCTTCCCTGCTACCCCAGGAAGCTGGGAGCCACAATGATGCTTTTGGGCCCCAAATCTTGGCCCTTTCCTTCTGAGCAGCACACGCACACGCACACACACACGCACGCACAGAGCCTGCCTCAGCATGGGGGTAACTTCTATTTTCCTGAAGCTCAGGCCTGCCCAGAAATCCCCACCGAGGGAGGAGGTCCCAGGGGTGTACAGCCTCTGCAAACCTCACAGGAAGCTGAGTGGCAGTCACATTTAATAAACAACCCAACAAACCAACACCTTGCCAGCAATGAAGGGCCAGCCTGGTGACTCCCCTGGGAAGCAGCGCAAGCGGTGTGGGGAGGCCAGGGAGCAGATGGGAGGGATTCCCCTTGTGGGAGGGAGGAAGATGTTGTGCCCCCTTCTCAAGCAGGGCAGGGCAGGACTCTTTGGGGAGGGGGCAAGCTCAGAGCCAGTAATACTGTTTCCAAGAGGCATATACTGTGTGTGTGTGTGTATGTTTTCTTAAGTTTTCGTGGGTACTTACATGTATGGCATTCAGCTTTGTTCGGGTGTTTTCCCACATCATTGTAGTTGTGCTTTTAAAGTTGTAGCAACGTTTCGGCAGAATCTCATCTGCCATCATCAGGCTTCTGTATTGTGTTCGTCTGTGAGTCAGACTTTTACAGTGGTTTCAGTTTTAAATTTTTAAATCTCTTTAAATTTTTAAATCCCTCTTCAGTTTTAAATCCACTAGCCAGGCAAACACCTGGGCACAAACAGATCCCCCCTGATACCTCCAGCTCAAACACACCCCAACCAGGCACCCAGATGAAACCTAGCTTCCTAACAAATGATAGCTGTCCATTTACTCAGAGCCAAGCTGCACTAAAAGCCTTCAATACAGGAGCACAATGTTGCCAGCCAATCAAGACACAAAAAAAGCCACAAAACAGACAGAAGATATTAGAAACACCGATCAAGCAGAACACAGCAAACTCCAAGACCAATAAACACAGACCAAGACTCCCAACCAATCAGGATGAAGAAGAAACCATTCTGGCACAGCAGTAGGCGAGCCCCAAATTTAAAACGGAAACAACTGTAAAAGTCTGACTCACAGACGAACACAATACAGAAGCCTGATGATGACAGATGAGATTCTGCCGAAACTTTGCTACAACTTTAAAAGCACAACTATAATGACGTGGGAAAATACCCGAACAAAGCTGAACACCATACACACACGAACACACACACACACACACACACACACTCTTTCCACTGCTTTGCCCACGACAAAACAGCAACCAGACAACGCAATGGACAAAGTTTCAAAACCCGCCCGCAAGCTTCTTAGGCTGCACATTAAGCAAGATTTCAGCAATACCAGAAACACTCAACTGGCAGGTGAAGCATCATCTCAGAAATGCAGACAATCCGACGGGAGACTGAAAGTAGGAAGCAGCTTCCTTTGCCCAAACCATGAAGCTGCAAGTGTGAGAAGGACGGCAGACGCCCTGGAGATTTGCCCCAGGGGTCCAAAGGGATGCCCAGGCGCCTGCAGTCTCTTGCGGGAGGAAGACTGGGGGGGCAGCCAGGGAGGATGAGGACCCTCCCAGCAGCACCGAGCAATCCCAGGTGGAGAAGGCAAAAGACCTCAAAGGGGTTGCCCCAAATCCTTGGGAAAGAACGAAGCTGCGTTCCCTTCTCTGGCTTTTGCCAGGCCTGGAGGAACTGGCCCAAATGGTGCCTGGTGGGGCTGTTTGGCAAAAGCCCTGGGGGGGGGGGCTTTGTCGGGCAGGGGGCCCGGCTCCTGCAGAGGGGGACGCAAGGCTTCCAAAGGATCTGGTAGAGAAGCGCAGAAAACCGAGAGAGGAATGCTCATGTCCGGCTGCTGGGAAGTCGGCCATCATCCAGCTTTTAGCCAAGAGAAAGAAAAAAACACGCCGTTCTGTTCTGTTCCATCCCACCCGGATGGTTTGGTTCTCTGCCGGAAGAACATCTGGACAGAGAGAAGAGACTCCTAGGGCGGGAAGGGATCTTGGAGGTCTTCTAGTCCAACCCCCTGCACAAGCAGGAAACCCTATACCATTTCAGTCCAGTCTTTTCTTAAAAAGCTCCAGTAATGGAGCCAAGCTTTCCCCCCCACCACAGCTTCTGGAGCCAAGTTGTCAGTAGATTATCAATTGTTTTAACTGTCAAGGAAATTTCTCCTTAATTCTAGCTGGGATCTCTCCTTGGTTAGTTTCTATCCGTTGCTTCTTGTTTTGCCTTCAGGTGCTTTGGAGAATAGCAGGCCCCCCACTTCTCTGTGAAGCATCTCATGCATCACCCCTAATTCTTCAGAAGAGAAAGCAGCTTCCAGAAACGTGACTGGGGGGGGGGGGGGGGGGGGGAGGCAGAGAACTCGGAACTATTGTATCGTATCTTTAAAAAATTCTGGCGGCACCGGAGAACTACCAAAGGACTGGAAAAAAGACGACGTGGTTCCCATCTTCAAAACAGGGAGGGAAAAAACCAGACCCAGGAAACTGCAGCCCACTCAGCCTAACCTCAATACCTGGGAAGATAGTAGAAAAAATAACTAAAAAAACAGATCTGCGAGCATCAAGAAACAAATAAGGTTATAACTGGGAGCCAGTACAGGTTTTTTAAAAACAGATCATGCCAAACCAATCTTATTTTATTCTTCCTTTAAATTAGCAGACCAGCAAAATGCTGTGGACATAATAGACTTCAGCAAGGCATTCAGCAAAGTAGACCACAACCTACTTCTTGGTAAGCTAGAAAAAAGGGGGATAGACGGTATCGCCAACAGATGGATTTGCAACTGGCTGACCAACCATACTCAACGAGTAGTCCTTAACGGGTCTAAGTCTACCTGGAGGGAAGTAAGAGGTGGGGTGCCACAAGGTTCTGTCCTGGGCCCAGGACTCTTCAGTATGTTCATAGTTAGATGAGGGACTAGAAGGGGAACTCATCAGATTTGCAGGTGACACTAAGCTAGCAGGACTAGCCAACACCCCAGAAGACAAGTTCAGGATCCAAAAAGATCTTGACAGACTTGAACAATGAGCCCCATCCAACAAAATGAAATTTAATGTGGAGAAAAGCCAAGTTTTACACCTGGGCAGGAAAAACCAAAGACCAGTGCAGATTATGGGAAACTTGGCTCAGAACCAGTAAAAATCGTGAAAGGGACCTTGGAGTCCTAGTGGACGATCCGTTAAACCTGAGCCAGCCGAGTGCAGCAGCAGCAGCAGCCAAAAAAACTAATAGAATACTTGGTTAGATAAACAGGGGCATAGAATAAACACCATGAGAAGTATTAGTGCTGCTTCATAAAGCCTTAGTAAGGCCCCATCCGGAATAGTGCATCCAATTTGGGTACCGCATTACAAAAAAGATGTCAAGACTTTGGAAAAAATGCAAAGAAGAGCAACGAAGAGGATTGATTGCCTGGAAAAAAACACGGGCAGAACTGTTGCAGGATTTGCATTTGGCTAGGGACTGAGAGCAGTCTTCCAGTATTTGAGGGCGCCACAAAGAGGTCGACCTATTTTCCAAAGCACCAGAGGGCAGGACAAGAAAGCAGGGCGGTTTCTCATAGGGCTGCCATTGAAGTTACCTCCAGGTTGAGGCCTTGTTCGCTTTCCCTGCCTCACTCATCCAGGTAGGAGCAGCAGCTGCCAGCAGGAGAGCAGATCCCCGATCCATCCTGGTCCCAGGACGGCCAGGAAGAGCTCCTCCCCGTGCAAACGGCGCTCTCGGGGCCCGGCCTTTCTTAGTGCTCCAAAGGAGGCAGAAAGGAATTTTTATGGTGCTGCTTGTAAGAGTCCCCAAAATAGCACGGAGGCCTGTGGGAGAGCTGAGCCTCTAAATAAGAAGTCCAGCCACTCTTCCACTTAACAAGATTAACAGAGTTGGAAGGGACCTTGTAGGTCATCCAATCCAACCCCCACCCTAGCAGGAGACCCTACAGCGTTTCTGACAGATGGCAGCCCAGTCTCTTCTTGAAAGCCTCCAGTGACAAAACTCCCACAACTTCTGAAGGCCACTTCCGTTCCATTGGTGGATTCTCACTGACTGAAAATTTCTAGGTTGAATCTCTCCTTGATTAGTTTCCATCCTTGTCTGGCCTTCGGGTGCTTTGGAAAATAGCTTGACCCCCCCCTCCTCTCTGTGGCAGCCCCCCCAATATAGGGAGACGTCGATCCTCTCCTCCCCCCCCCCCCCAATCCTTCTCTTCCCTAGACTAGCCATGCTCGGTTCCTGCAACCGTTCATCGTATGTTTTGGCTTCCAGTCCCCTCATCATCCTGGTTGCTCTTCTCTGCCCTATTTCTAGAGTCTCAACCTCTTTTTTATAGTGTGGTGACCAAAACTGGGTGCAGGACTCCAGGTGTGGTCTTACTAGGGCTTTATAGAGTGGTATTAGTGCCTGCCTTGATCTTGATTGTATCCCTTTGTTAATGCAATTTAGGATTGCATTGGCTTTTTTGGCTGCCACTGCACACTTTTGGCCACTCAGACTCCAAGATCCCCCTCCCAGTTCCTGCTACTGAGCCTGGTTTCACCCAGTCTAGACGTGTCCTTGTGGTTTTTATTGCCTAAGTGCAGGACTTTACTTTTCTCTTCATTGAATTTCATGTTGTTAGAGAGGGCCCAGTGTTCCAGTCTGCCAAGATCCACCTGGGTCTTGAGCCTCTCTTCTTTGCGTGTTGGCTATTCCTGCCAGCTTAGCGTCATCCGGATATGTGTTAAGTTCCCCTTCTATTCCCTCATCTAAGTC